ATTGGCTATCAAAGGATTCTTGGCTTTTTTTCCCAATTGTTTAATTTTATTAGGAAGTTAAAAAATATAACTTTTGGAATTTCTTAAGAATGAAATAACTCTATTTCATTAATCTTGTGTTCATTCATGAGATATGAAATCCATTATTGGATTATTTGAAATAATTGCAGTTTCATTGAAATTAGAATTCTAAATAACCAATCTATATTAAAAAAAGTTTATTATTTATAAGCTTAAAACTTAATCTTAAAAATAATTTATTAGTTAGTATAGCGATATTTTAAAATAATTCTAAGTTTATAGTTTAAAATTTTTAAAAAGCTTAATTTTTTGTAGTTAATCAGATAATATGTAATAATTATTTAGTTGATTTTGTCTATTTTTTAAATCCTCTAGTTTATAGAATAATTTTAAACTTAATATTTATTCATTTTTAATGAATAGTAAATTTTATGCCTAATCTTTTGAATTCAATTTTGTAGGGTAGAGTATATCATCAAGGTTGTCTTTATGAAAAAAGTTATTCAAACGATTGCGAAAGGATTGGAGACTTTTTAGGAAGCAAATTCAAATTTGGCTCTAAATAATAATTATTTGAATTAATTTTATCCATGTCATTACCTAGCACAAAAATCTAGCATAGATGTCAATTAATTATTTAAATTATATAATTAATTAGTTGAATGAGTATCTGTTGTGAATTTTCGTCATTAAATTAATATCAAATATAGAAATAGGAAATGTGGATCAATCAATCTAAAATCTTATCAAAATTTTAAAATTTAAAGACATTTAGAATTTAGGTCTTTCAGTTCAATAAATTTATCTTACACTCTTCTGTAAATCCTTATTTTTTTTAGATTATTACATTACTTTTGCCTATTTGTAGATCGATTAAACTGAATAGATAGAAAATAAAAAATTTCCTTTACTGCTAAACCTAAAAAAAATTAATTAAATAAATACTAATTTTAAAATTACAACCTACTGAAAGATATCCAGTAAAAGCTAAATTATAAGAGTACTAAATTTATATAGAATTCTAGTTCTATTTTGTAGAGGAACACCCTTCTATTAAAATCGAATTGGATACATCTGTTAAAGTTTCTTAAAAGCTATATCTTTGTATTCTAAATCCTTCATTGTTCAAGACCATCAACTTATTAGCAAGCTCTATCTAATCTCTTTAAATTTAATTTAATTATAAATAATTTCAATTTTCACGATTTGAAGATGTCTACTATATTCCTAGGAAATTTGCTGTGTAAAATGCGATTTAATTTCATATTTAATCAATTTCAGAACCTCAAAAATTTTTGGTTTGAATTCATGGTAAATAACTCATATTAAAGTAATATAAATTTAATTATTAAAAAACAGAATATGGAATAAAAACCAGATTTATTTGAAGTTCTTGCTTCATCAAAGGATATTGATGAATAAATATACAAAGCAATCATGGAAATATTTAGAAAAGAATAAATATCAGACTGTTTAAAATTTTTTTCAGATGATGAAAATCTTTAAAATTATGAATAAAAAATTTTATTTATAATGAATCCATCACTAGTCAATTAAGAAGAGAAGTTGTATCTGATGAAAAACAATATGAAGTTAATTATAAATATTTTGAAATAAGTTAAACATCATGACTTTTTTAATAATAATTATTCCACTGAAATTTATTAGAAAGCTAGACAAGATTTAATTAAAAGAATAAATGATCAACAAAAAATTATCTAATTTTTATAATTTTTAGTTTAAATTACAGCTATAGATGTAAGATTTATATAATGTGGATCAAATTCTTTAAATTTATTAGTTTAAATGAAGGTTGATTTAAAGAACCAATGTTTTGAAAATATCAAGATTGAGAATACTTCTTTAATTGGAGGTAACTTTTTCAGATGTAATTTGAGTGGATCCGAATTTTAAAATGTTGATATAAGTGGAATGAATCTGAATGGAGCTTAATTATATCATTGTAAATGGAAAAACTTAAAAATTCATGAGTTACACTAATTAGAAGGCCATAGAAGTAGTGTAAGATCGGTCTGTATTTCTTCTGATGGAAGCACATTAGCATCTGGTAGTGATGACATGACTATCTGTTTATGGGATATTAGGACTGGATAATAAAAAGGCATATTGAATGGTCATACTAGTTATATACAATCAGTATGCTTCTCTCCTGATGGTAATACAATAGCATCTGGTAGTTCGGATAAGTCTATTCGATTATGGGATTTTAAGACAAGAAAAAAAAAATTTTAATTAGATGGTCATGATAGAACTGTTTACTCAGTATGCTTTTCTTATGATGGTGATACTTTAGCATCTGGTAGTGCAGATAACTATATTCGTTTGTGGGATATTAGGACAGGATAATTAAAAGTCAAATTGGATGGCCATACTAGTTCTATACAATCAGTATGCTTCTCTCCTGATTGTACTACATTAGCCTCTGGTAGTTCAGATAAGTCTATTCGTTTATGGAATTTTAAGACAGGAAAATTAAAAGCCAAATTAGATGGTCATACTGGTTATGTAGAATCAGTATGTTTTTCTCCTGATGGTACTACATTAGCATCTGGTAGTTCAGATAACTCTATCCGTTTATGGGATATTAGGAGTGGATAATAAAAAGACAAATTGGATGGTCATAGTGATTATGTAAGATCAGTATGTTTCTCTCATGATGGTTCTACATTACTGTCTGGTAGTTACGATTACTCGATCCGTTTATGGGATGTTAAAACAAAATAATAAAAAGCAAAATTGGATAGTCATAAATATGTAGTTTATTCAGTTTGCTTCTCTCCTGATGGTACAACTTTAGCTTCTGGTAGTGATGATAAATTTATACATTTATTGGATGTTAAGATTAGTTAATAACTAGCTAAATTGGATGGTCATAGTGATTATGTTAGAACAGTATGCTTCTCTCCTGATGGTACTACATTAGCATCTGGTAGTTCAGATAACTCTATCCGTATATGGGATACGAGGACCGGATAATAAAAAGCAAAATTGGATGGTCATGTTTATACTATACAAACAGTATGTTTCTCTCCGAATGGCACTAAATTAGCATCAGGTAGCTATGATAAATCTATCCGTTTATGGGATGTTAAGACAGAACAATAAATAAAAGTATTTGAGGGTCATAGTAGAGGAATCAACTCAATATGCTTCTCTCTTGATGGTACGACAATAGTATCTGGTAGTTCTGATGACTCTATCCGTTTATGGGAGGTTTAGACTGGATAATAGAAAACCTAATTGAATGGTCATAGTGATTATGTAAGATCAGTATGTTTCTCTCCTGACGGTATTACATTAGCCTCTGGTAGTTCAGATAAGTCTATTCGTTTATGGAATTTTAAGACTGGAAAACAAAAAGGAAAATTGAATGGTCACAGTGATTATATATAATCAGTGTGTTTCTCTCCTGATGGTACTACATTAGCATCTGGTAGTTCAGATAATTCTATCTGTTTATGGGATGTTAAGACAGGAACATTAAAAGCCAAATTAAATGGTCATAGTAATTCAGTCTTATCGGTTTGTTTCTCTCCTAATGGTACAACTTTGGCTTCTAGTAGTGAAGATAAGTCTATCCTTTAATGGGATGTTAAGACAGGATAATATAAAGCGAAATTGGATGGGCATTCTAGCTCTGTACAATCAGTATGCTTCTCTCCTGATGGTACTACATTAGCATCTGGTAGTTCAGATAAGTCTATCCGTTTGTGGGATGTTAATACAGATTAAAAAATTGAACTCTCGGATAAACTTTACAAAGAAGATTAAGCCTAATCTGAAACTCTTCTTCTTTCAAAGAATCCTCTCCTGAAAAGTGGTATTGATGTTATTATATTTAGTAACTTCTGATATTACTATTCTCCTTATTTCTGAAACACCAAAATTTTAAGCACAAAATACTTTAATTTTGAAAGGAGAATTTCAGAATCATCTCGGCCTAAATCTAAAAACATTATTAAAGCAAAAAGGAGGTTGCATTTTAGAGAAATGAATAGAATGTTTACATAATAATATCATAAACATAAAATTTATAAGTATCACTTAGTATGTATTGTGTTTAAATAATATCTACTTATTATTTAAGAATGATTTGCTACTTAATCTAAATCTAATTTGGTAATCGATTTTCAATTTATTAATTTTGATTTTCTAAAATCTTAACTCTTGAAAAACCATTGTTTAATTTAGGGTTTTCAATTATTGAATATTTATAACATTAAAATTTCTGAATTTATTGTAACTTTTTTATGTTTTTGTTATTTTACTTTTTTATTCAAATATAAAAAAATTTTAAGAGATAATTTTGTCAAACTATTTCATTAAAATCATTATGAGTAATTCCAAAATATAATACTTGATATTTCTTATAATATTTAGTATAATTTGAATTGGAATTGTAAATTCGATTAAGAAACCGCAAAAATAAGATAAAAGTTAAGTAAATGCTTGACCTTTGTTTCAGAGATTCGATTAATAATTACAAGTAATTAAAGGAAGATATAAATTGTATGATAGTAAAAATTAACCCTTTCAGGTATAAATCACAACCATCAAATTTCGATCAACTACTTAAATCTTGATATGATAAATATTAAGTGGCCATCAACTACTTAAAAACGAGTCGATTGATCTCCAATATTTGGAGTAGAATAGATTTAATCTCCACTTGATATAGTACTTCAATTCAAAATAGTTCGGATAGATCTGGTACAATTATTTAAGTTAGATATAAATTAATTTCTTGCAGGCATATTTAATAAATAGCTATAATGGTCAGTCGAACATAATTGATTATAAAGCATAAATTTTGCAAGTAGTACTGCAATCTATTTGGGATTTTGGGAAATAGTGTGCTGCATTAAATGCATGATTTAGCAATAAACAAAGAACTACTGATATAACCAGCAAAGGATCCAAAATTTAGAGTTAAAAAAAGTACTCAAGTTCTTTTCAGTTACACTTGTTTTGGAGATTTGAAAGATTAATTAAAAAAAAGATTTATATAATAGTATGAAAAATCTCTATCATAAACAAATTGGGTATAAAGCATTATATATAAATATTGAAGTATTTCGAAGCACATTATTTGAAATATTAAATTAGTCGTTTATGAAATTATTTAAAAATCAATTATTAAAATTTAATAATTATCATCAAATATAATTTTTTAAGTATATGTTTTTTAGATTTTATATATAGTAAGACTTAAACTGATCTAAATCTTAATTTAATTAGTAAATTTAATAGATGATACATGTAGGAATGCTATTCATGCAATAATTTTTGAGATCAAGAGATTACCAGTTTTTACTCTTTTTAAGTGTATCGATTCAACGATTTTATAATTGTCAGATATTCTTTATAGTTCTAATTGAATTTTGGGTTCTTCTAACAAATAATCTAAATGTTTATATTGTAAATATCCCATAGTGTATATATTTTCATTTATAAATGTCTTTAAAATTTTATCGATTATTATTTGCTTAAAATCTAAACGATTTGCTCTTCTATTTTCATAGGCTAATTATGATTTAATTTTTATTAATGATTACATATTTATCACCAAATTATTATCTTAACTTCTTTGAATTAATATTTATTAGTTCCCCAATAGATATAATATAAAACTTAATTTGAAGAAGTAGTACTTTTAATTTTTAATCATAGAGTCAATGGATTATTTTTTTTTAATTTTTTTTAATTTTTTTTCATTTCTAATTATATAATGAATGTGGATACCTTATAGTAGAATTAATAGGATCTAAACTTGATTTAAGTTAGATCAATTTCTTTTTGTCTTAAAATGAAATCCCTTTATAAAATTTTTAATTATAATATTAAGTAAACCTATTTGATCTATCATATTATAGGTTTTTGGTTTAAATAAATTAATATCCATCTAAAAAAAATTAAATTAAAAATTTTTCTCACAAGGG